TGCATTTTTTTCCGTTTCTACCCTCACTTGATGGAGTAGTCCTATGTAAGTCCTAGGGGCATGTTTGTCTTTTTGTTTTCCATCGTTATATGTTGGCTATTTAAAGCCTACTCATCAATCATCATTTGAGGTTAATGGATGATTACTAAGAAAAAATTCTGCACTTTGTTCTTAAGAGCTATGAGAGTTCTTAGGAGAGTAGAGGTCCCTAAATGAGGGCATCGCAACACCCACCAGCCATAGGAAGTGTCCAGGCTCGTGGTTTGAAATCCCTAGGTGAGGGCAAAGTATTACCCATCAACCGCAGGAAGTGTCAGGGCTCATAGTTTATCTTTCTTTACCTACACTTCCTTTCTCCTTCTCTAATTCCCCTTCTTCTTTCTTCTAATCGCCGCTCTACCTCTCCTTCTCCCTTGACCGCTGGTCAAACCCTCCATAATCGCCGGCCAAGCTTCCCTCTTCCCCTCCTCCACCCATCGACCACTCCAACACCACCTCCTAGACGGCCACCTCCCTTATTCCCTCCACCTAGCCACCGGCCCAAGACCCCACTTCCCCTCCTCCCACCACCACCGGCCCCAATCAATCCCTCTCCATTTGCCTCCAAATTCGAATTACTCTTTAGTGCTTTCCTTATTGTATGCAAATCACAAAAAGGATAGTATTAAAATCTGATTTCTTTTATTTGAAATTTGAAATTTATTTCCTAATCTATCTTGTTTCATTTTAGGAAAGTTATTTAAAGCAAACCTATTTGAATTTCAATTATGATTTGATTTGGGCCCTTTGATCCACCCCCAATCATCTCCATTAATGCAACCCCTTGCATGGTCGGTCCCTTTGCTCCCCTCCATTCATAAATTTCCTAAATTAGATCACTATTGATTTGAAAAGTATTCAGATTTGAATTCAAATCATTTTGAATTTCAAATACTTTCCAAATTAATACAACTATTTTATGAAGCATCCCTAATTGATGCAAATCTGAAATTAATTCAAATTTGAAGTCATCAATCAATAATCTATGCAAAGATCCACAAAGTTCTTTAATTGTTTGCTTACGCAACATTTCTTCATCCTTTGAAATTTGGTGGCAGCACACAAATACTTGACTAAATATTGGGGAGGATTTCCAGTCATTAGGCACATTCCTGGAGCAAAAGCACACGATCCTATAACATCAAACTATTTTAATTCATGATTTTAGCTTTCTACACCTCTTTTTCACAGAAATATAAAATGAGTTGTCCTGTCTATCATCGGAAGAGATGTAAAGTTGTAAACAAGTTCTAAATCGCATACTTAGTCACACCAATATCAAATAGCAAACAGAATGTGTAACTGATATATACGACAAAATAAGGTAGCAGAAAAAAGAAGAGGCTAAACCACAATCTTAAGATATGAACAGGTCCAAAAAGAAAGAAAATGCTAAAGAAGAAAGAAGGGAAACACCAACAAAAGAAACAAAAAGAAGCAGTTTTTGAAAGCAAATATAGAGATGAAAAGAAAATTCATTTCAAATTTAGGGGTTGTTTGGTTGCCTACAAAGAGAGTGCAAAATATTCCAAATGCATGGGTTTTAAGAGTAAAGGCATTTGGTTTGATGTAAAAAAAAAAGCAATATAAAATTTTGGTGCATTTGGAATTCACCATCTAGTTCATTTTTGGTTTATTTGAGATTATTCTGATTTGAGCAAGCTCCAAATACACCGGAAATTCATTTCAATTGTCGCCGCCCGTCGCCTCCATGCACCAATAGCCGACCACCGTTGCCCGCCCGCCGCCAATCGCCGCAGTCGCCGCTGGCAACCACCAGCCATCGCCTCTTGTGTCGCTGGCCACCACTACCAATTGCCCATAGCTGGCCACACTGCCGCCAATGCCGGCCACCGACCGCTACATTTTTGCACATTACATTGCATTCATTTTACTTAAACAACAACAATAAGCCTTTATCCCACTATGTGGGGTCAGCTACATGAATCCTTTTTCGCCATTGTGTCATGTGAATAGTCAAATTATCATTTAAATCTAATAAAGAAAGGTCATTTATAATATTTTCTAACCACGTCTTTTTAGGTCTACATCTACCTTTCTTAACATAAGTCAAATCTAATACATCTACTTTCTTAATAGGTTATTAGAAGGTCGTCGTTTTATGTGACCAAACCATCTAAGATGACTCGCTATAATATTATCTTCCACCAGAGCTACTCTAACCTTTTCACATATATGCTCATTTTATATCCTGTCTCTAAGAGTAAAGTCACTCATCCACCTGAGCATCCTCATCTCTGCAACACTTAATTTTATTCTTCTCTTTTAATGGCCAACATTATGCATCATAAAGCATTGCAAGTCTCACCACCATCTTATAGAATTTTCCCTTAAGTTTGAGGGGGACTTTTCTATCACACACCAAGCACGATGCATTCCTCCACTTCAACCATCCAACTTGAATTCTACTAATAATATCTCCATCTATTTCACTATCACACTGAACAATAGACCCAAAATATCTAAAACGTGTACTCCTATTAATGACTTGATCGCCCAAAGTCTCAATCCCCCCACTAGATCTAACTAAAATTACACTCCATATATTCATTGTTAAATCTACTCAAACGAAAGCCTTTAGACTCCAAAGTTGACCTCCATAATTCAAGTTTACATTCAACTCCCTCTCTAGTCTTATCAATAAGAAGAATATCATTAGCAAAAAGCATACACTAGGGTACAACCTCTTGCAAATGTCTAGTAAGAATATCCATGACTACAGCAAAAAGATATGGGCTTAAAGTTGATCCTTGATGTAATCTAACTGAAATAGGAAAATACTTGGTCAAACCACCTTGTGTTTGTGCACAAGTATATCTCTTGCATACATATCCTTAATGACTTGAATATAAGCATCATTAACCCCTTTCTTTTCTAGAACTCTCCATGGCACTTCTCTAGGAACTTTATCATATGCTTTCTCTAAATCAATAAATATCATATGTAAATCCTCGTTGTTCTCTCTATAATTCTCCATCAAACTTCTCAATAAATGTATAGCTTCCATAATAGACCTACCCTGCAAGAATCCAAATTGATTTTGAGAAATATTAGTATCACGCCCTAATCTATGCTCCATAACTCTCTACCATAGTTTTAAAATACGATGCATTAATTTAATTCCTCTATAATTCGTACAATCTTGTGCATCACCTTTATTCATAAAAATAGGAATCAACAGACTCATTCTCCACTCATCTAGCATCTTTTTAATCTTCAAAATAATATTAAAAAGTTATAGGTTTAAATCTATGAAAATTTCAAATAGCTGTGTGCCCACAAACTTATCAATGGATAAATTGTATACAAACACGGCTATAGTAATTATTATATAGTAATTATTAAATCCTAACCATAAGCGTTATCTTTTGCATATGTTTTCAGGTTTAAAACCAAATAAAGTAAATTTTTGTGTGCTTAATAGTCTTTGATCTGTGAATTCTTATTGCTTTTGAGTGATTCACATCCACTACATCATTCTAGTTATATTAGGAACCTTAGACCCTTGAGTGTTCTACATCACTATAGACTATGAAATTCTACAAGTGATGATGAATGGTTACATCAACAAGAAATTCAATAATTATGCCCAATTTTGTTAGACGAATGTCAACTAAATTCATCATAACTGAATTTTTTAAAGTCAAACAAATTTGATGTGGATCTTAATGTTTACAACCATAGTAAAAATTATATATTTGCACTATGAGTTTATAACAATCATGTTGAAATTTAAATTTGAATTTCTAATATAACTTTTGATTGTAATAAGTTAATTGTGTCAAATTATATTTACATGTTGATGATGTTATCTTATTGCTAAGGCTATTGTTGTCCAATTAATAAGTCGAGCAAAATCAATAAAAATTATAATTCCTTGGTTGAGTGAAGTTCGTTTCAAATTTATGTTTCTATTTAAGCATTATATTTTTTGTTGCCCTAGTTCCTCGACTATGTTGAGTTCATTATTTCATTTCCATTTTTATGATTCATTTCTCGTGATTGTTATGATAAAAACCATTTGAAACTTTAACTAACTATATTTTGCTTGACTTGTGAGGTCATTTGAGGAACTCTATCATTTGAGACTACTTAAGACTGAGTGGTCTCTTTTGGTGATTTCCTTAATCAATTTTCTTCGACTCTAATTGGGATTTATAAAATACATATGTAAGGCATCTATATAAGATACTTATGTTAATAAAAATTTGCATTTGGATGATCAAATCCTTATACTTTCGAGATTTAATTTATTGCAGAATGGTGAAGCTTTCTTTTAAGTGGCATCTTCTCCGTTTCTTTTTCATTCTCTTCTTCTAACAATTTTTAATTATTAGTTGAAAGTATGACTAAATTTTTTAAGATTTGTATAATCTAAATTTCTTTCTTTTGCATGAAATTTCAATCATCTGTGTTGCTACATTAATTGCTAGCAGTAGGCCAAAACTCTTTTAAGCCTGATGTCAAATTTTACCATTTACTTTTGTTTTCATCGAAAATAACAAATGTTTTGTTAAAGAAAACTAGAGTAACATTGAATATTAGATCCAAATTAGAAACCCTAGACCCCTCAAGTGGAAATTTGATGAGAAGATAGAGGAAAAAGCAAGAAGGAAGGGTTGTGCCAATTGAAATAATATTGCTAATCAAGCCCAAAGAAACATAGCATGTTTTAAAGCACTGGCTTCATGAACACAATCACTATTGCAACAAATGAACATATAGGCTAGCAAATGTTCATATACATTACAAATTATTCAGGTATTGTGGCATGATGGCGTCCCATATAAGCCCAAAGAAGATGACTGAAATGTCAAATTAATAGACTACTCACCGATGAAATAATACTCCACTGCTAATAATGCTACAAAAAAAATCATTTCATGCATTGTATGTCTTAATAACACAAGCAAATTCCTTTAGAAACAAGAAAATCATACCAGTTGTTTACAGGTCAAAAGCATCCCTCAAACTGTACTCAGAAACTTGAAGCATTGTTAACAAGGTGTACTACTGCCTTCTTTGTCTCTTTATTCTCTCAAGGGCACCTAAAGGAGCATTCACCCCACTTTCCTCAGAACCAGCAACTTCCTTCTGATCTACAGTGACTTTGTGTGCCAATTCTCCAAAGATAGTAGCAGGGACATCCTTTTGAGCTATTTCAATTTTTTCATCATCTGAATCACTTTCTTCTGGCAACTCTATATCCTCATTGTTAGCGTTTACCTTCTCATTGTTAGGCTGTGACTCAACTCCAGCGCTTATGAAGTTCATCATTCTGCTTCCATCTTTAGCAGACAAGTTAGCAGAGGAGGGAGCCAATTGTCTTTCTAAAGAAGCCATTTCATCTTCAGGAACTCCGGCCCTCTTAAGAGTGTCCACTGCTTCCTCTAGGTTCAATTTCTGATCTTTTTGCATTAAATATTCAGGAAGGATCAAATGAGTCTGCAAAAGGTGGATGAAAAAATAAAAATAAATATGAGTTTCATGAACATCATCAAATCTCGGGAAAGATGAATCTTCAATAGGCAAGTAATAGAAAGTAAAATAAAATGATTAATATTATTAACATTACAATGTCAACGGTTTCATGCAATGATGGCAACTTACCTGGCTAAAGCTAGCTAAGACACTGCGTTTGACACGAAGCATCTCCCTGAATGTATCCTCATTACCATGTTGGACTTCAAAATCATTCCACTTCTTCCAAAAATCAGAATCAGAACGTGGATCAGCAAATTGTGATGCAAACACAAAAACTGCACGAGCCCGATCAATCTCTCCCAGATTCCTCTCAAGTTCAGCGTACTTCATGCACATCGTTTTAACAGCATTATCTGGAAGGCCAGACTCAATGGCTTGCTGCAAAAAACACAAAAAAAAAATGGAAGTTAGAACATTTAAGAAACAAGTCTATCGCAAGATACTAATATAATAAAGTATATTCCAAAAAAAGAACTAATTACAAGGCTAAAGGATAAGATATCATGAAATTTGCAGTTATTTTATCAGACTAAAGATGGGAACATAAAACGTTAATCTTCCTTTAATTTAATTGGGTTATGTTTTTCTGTTAAACCTAGACAAATTTTAAGACATCTCTCAAATGGAAACGTCATATGCATTCAATGTGTTTACCTAAATTCCTTACAATGAGAGACTGCTGTAACATGAAACTGCTGAATATGAAGGCAAGAAGCTTACCTCATAAATTTCCCTTGTTTTTGGAATGCCAAAAATTTCAGCAGCACGAGCGATGTAGATCTCATACATACTCAGCTTTTCACCATCAGAGACAGCTTTTACAGCTTGGTCATAGACTTTCATTGCCCGTTTCGCTAGTCCATAGTCTTCCTCCAGTTTAGCATATTGCAGATATAATGGCTTCACATCTTGTGCAGGTGCCTAATGGAAACAAAGAATGTATCATGGAACTTTTGTGTGAAAAAGTTTGACTCAACAATCATGAATTATGTTTAACTGAAAACTTCTAGCTTACCGTAACAAAGAAGTAGAGTCACATAACTCCGACATGATTAAAATTTCAGAGGAAAGAAAAGTTGGAAAACACCTCAGAGGAATAGAACAAACAGGGGTGTAAACACATAAGGCTTCATGGTAAATTAGGTGCAAATATTAATAGTCGTTAATGAACATTAAAAGCATGGACAATAAGGAAAAAAATAAAAATGACAAATTATTTCTTCCTAAAGAAAAAAAAGTAACTACTAATGCCATTTTGGAACACAAGACGTGAGGAAGACCAAAAGTTAGATGACTACAGCTTGACCAACAATTTCAAACTAAAAGAACTGGACTTAGTCCATCAGAAAAACAAACAATCATTACAAAGAACCATCGAAAATTAAAGTAGCTGTGCGTGAATGCTATTTCACGTAAAGTTTTACAGTAAAATAAAAAAAGCTCATATGATGGAACAAATCTAGGTTAATGCAATTAAAAAGGGAATTAAGGCAAAAATATACACACATGATATAAAGCATAGTCCAAATAAAATACAGCACCAGCACAAGAACTAAATATTTAATTAGCAGCCGGTGATGAACAATCGAAGCTTGATGCTTTTACTTGCAAATTAATAAAAGACACTGCTTTTTAATGCTAATGCATAATGAATTGTTCGTGCTGTAACATGAGAAAAACTGAAATTATTGCACACCTTTTCAATTGCATGCTCAAAAAGCTCTCTTGCCCGCTCTAGCTTGGTCTTTCCATATCTCTTAACAAACTTAGAGAGGTATGTGACCCATATATCTTTCACATGAGGGTACTTAAAGATCTTGACGCCTCTTTCATACACCTTAAATGCATCTTCAAAGTACTTGTGCTCCTAGTAGCATGAAAATAAAAATTAGTAACTTCAATGGCAGCAATGTTAATTTTAAAGCAAAAAAATATGATACCTCAAGAAGAAAGGCATAATTCAGTATGATTTGCGGTGTAGCAATCCTCAGATCAAGTATTCTCTCATACACAGTACGTGTACTTTCCAGCGTTCCTAAACTCTCTTCCAGATCCACGTAAAAGCTCCAGAGTCTCAAAGACTTGTGCAACCTCATCTGTGCAGGCTCGTTACCATCCGCAGCAACTGCATTGAGGCAACATTATAATCAGGAAAGCAAATAATATTTTTGATTTCTCCATAAACTAAACCATGGTACCATCCGAGAACATTGCACATCCAGTAAGAAAAAGTGAGAATTAGAAACAAAATGATGCCAGCAGTCAGTAGGTTACCTCTTCTTTTGACCTCAACGGAGGGTTCTGCAGTAGATCTTCTCATCAGCTCAAGTGCTGCCTGGAAATTCTTGTGCCTCAGCTCCATCTCAGCCCACTCACACCAAACACTTGCCAGATTGTCAACTGTCTTGTAGTTGACCTGCACAGCCTTGTCAAATATAACTCTAGCATTCACCAGATCATTATGGTTCTCATACAACCGTGCAAATGAAACCCACAATGTGTGAGGCTTCCCCACTGCCTTCATTGGGTCCACTGTCCTAACTGCTTCAGTGAAAGTTAATATCTGCTTAGTGGGATTTCCCTCAAAAAGCTTCACCCGCCTGCATAGTAAATGAATGATAATCAAATAACTACCAAACAAATTAATATTCAGAATTCAGACAAGTCTGCGCTTAACTGAAGGAAAATGAAGCTTAGAGAAAGATGGCTTATCACCTGTGCCACTGCTCTACATTATGTGGGTTCTGCCTTAATAACACACTGTTCAGCAGCTCTGGCCGACGATCAAAGAGACTCTCAAGCCTCGCCAGCCTAAGATCAGCATCGTCATCATCATTTAACCAGAAATCTTCAAGAAACTTCTTTGAAAGCTTGTCGATTCCATTATTATCACCGCCTTCATCGCCATCACTGCCATCTGAGCCGTTTTCAGTTGTCTCAATCTTAGCAGCGAGGGCGCTCTGCTCAAACTGGGCATAAGAGTCGAAGATGACGGAGAAATCTCTGACAGTGACAACACTTGCGAGGCCCTCCTCGAAGACATCGCGTGCCTTCTCATAAAGGCTGCGGCGGACGTAATAATCAGCAAGAGAGGTCCATAGGCGACCGATCTCATCGGTGTACTTTCGGATCCCCCCGCGGATGATGGCGTCAACCTTGAGACCGGATACCTCCGTAGCGTGGCATGTGAGGAGGTCACAGAGCTCAAGCCAGAGCTGGTGGCGGTTCTTGCCCTTAATGGAATGGAAGGAATCGTCGTTGAGGACGGATGCTAGGCGCTCGGAAGCCTCCTGCCAAAGCTGGGAGCGGAGTAGGAAGTCGATGAAGTCCTCAATGTGGGAAGGGTCGAAAAGGAGATAACGACGGTAGACGCGGAGGGAGGTCTCCACGGGGACGCCGGGGAGCGAGACAAGAGTAAGATACGGTGACCATATGCGGTCGTGCTGGGTGACTGGCAGGGCGCACAGGGCACGGTCGAAGGTGCGGCGCGCACGAGTGATGAGGCGCTGCTCGGTAAGGGAAGTGAGGTACATGATCCAGATGCGGGGCATCTTGTGCATGGTAATCAGGGCACGTTCGAAGGTGTTGTTGAGATGGCCGTAGAGGTCGTGGGAGATTGGAAAAGAGCGAACGCGGTCAAGCCGCTCCCGGAGATAGGCTTGCCACAGCTTGTAGCTCCCCGGTAAGGCCTTTAGGGCGCGTTCGTATATGACGCGGCGCTTATCGAACGGCGCATCGGCGCGGGCTACAAGGTAGCGCCACCACAGCATTAGGTTGAAAGGGTTGCGGAGGATTTCTTCTTCGTAGGGGAGGTCATCCTCGGATGGATAGAGTTCCGCAGATATGGGCACAGCTTCCTTCGACGTCGAAGGCGATGGTTCCGCCATTGTTGAGGAAGAAACTGGAAGAGGATGAACGAAAGACTGAAGAGTTTAAACCCTAGGGGGGGCTGTTTGGTATGCGGATTTAGGCCGGATTTGGGCGAAATCCAGCCAAACGGCCTAAAATGCAAAATCAAATCTCACGGTAAATCAAAGCCGCGGTTGACGGAAAATTCCCTCTTTTCGTGGTAAATCCCGGATTTACGAAATGCTTTGGTTCGGCGAATTTACGGGATTTGGTCGAAGAAGCGCGCGAAAGGGAGAAAGTTACCTTCACGGCAAGCGAGCTCCCGTTGTTGCTTCAGATCAAAAAACAATGTCGTAACTTCCGATCCAACAGAACAGGAAGGTAATATCGTCGAAGGAGCAAAGTCGAACGGCGAGGAAGAACTCGTGAAAAATTCTACACTCGTGCGAACGAACAAAGCCGAACGAACGAAATAGTGGAAGGTAAAGTAAAACCTACTTCTAATTGCTGAATATTTTAATTAATATAATTTAAAATAGGAATTTTTACATACATAACACTTAAAACTATTGAAAATACATATCTAACATCTAAACATTAGTATTTACTTATCTACCACCTAAATTCTCCCTCTCCTTCAATTCTACCACTCCGTTTATTAGCACCCGCACGTCGTCATCTATTCGTTTGCGCGAACGAACAGAACGGATGTATGATGGCCGGTCAAGCAATCCGAGCAGAACAACATTTTAGAAAAATGGAGATCGCCGGCACAACCGGCATCAGCAGCAGACCCCAAAGCTCCGGCTCCCTTGCCTGCAGGACACACAACCTGAAGGCGCAGAGCGACGTCACTGCCGCGACGGCGCTGCCGGAGAGAATAAGTGTCTTGAAGGCGCCGCCACGACCGGGATCTTCGCTCCGGCGAAAGTGTCGCTATCAAAGTCATCAGCAAGGATCACATCCGGCGAGAATCTTGCTTGTCCGCACCTAAACCTCTCCGCATTCTCAATCAAATACGGCGGCAGATTGATCACGGACTTCGAAAGAGTGCAAGTAATGAAGCCTTCTCCCTCCTAGCCTGCATCTCCAAGGCCTGCTCCATTCCTCTTGTTCTAATTCCCCACATAGCCTTCTCCCTCCTAGCTATGAAGCAGACTAACATGGCAACAAAAGCAGAGCAGAGGAATCATAATAAAGGCATATTTCGACTGGGTCCATAGATGCTTTTCTGTTTTGTAATTTTGTAGCTTATTCTACAGAAACTATTTTGTCGCTAATTCAAGGGGAGAAGACGCCAACTGTGGGATGGAGAAGGGGAAAAAAAAAACAGAACCAAACTATAGGAGCTGAACCAAACGCGAACTTCTTCATGCCTGTATCAGATGCCGAAGCTGAATAAGACGAGAAGGTTGGATTTGCTAACAGTGTGATTCAGGGAGAAGTTCGCCAAGCAGATTGATTCACAAAACAAAAGCCTGTGTCGCATTAGATTCGTGAACTGTGCGATTCACGTCAAGAGAAGAACCTGCTCTAGGTTCCCGCCCTTTTTCGGGATTTGGTGTTGACGGGAGGCGTGGGGAGTTGACGGAATGTTATTTTTGATGAGAATAAGGGTTTGAAGGTGGTATATAAGTAAATATGAAAGTTTAGGTGTTAAATAGGTAAATAGGCTTGTTTTAAGTGTTAGGTATGTAAAAATCCCTTTAAAATATTAATAATTAAGTGAAATTAATTAAATAATATTTAAATAATGATAAAATTATTAACATCTCCCAAGCTAGCACCAGAAGTTTCAGCGAAGATATTCAAAGCAAAGATTAATCTACGAACATGATGAACTTCTAATTACGTGTATACACCTCTGACTCGAAAGTAAAGTCGTTTTACCAGAAAAATGTTTTGAATTTTGGGTTTGGATAAATCATTTGCTTCTCAAAGGAGCGGAGCGTTTCATTTTAGTCTTAGTTAAATACTTAGTTATTTTAAAATAATTAATATGATTAAATATGATTTTAAATAAAAAAAATATTATAAATAATTAATTAGTATTAATAAAATTTTGTTATATTTTATTTAAACTTCTCTTGTCGTACTTTAATTGTTCTAATAATGTATGTCAACTCTTTTAATCTCCTTAAATCCTGAATTGAACAGTCAAACAATCACATAAGATTTAACTAAATTTATCATGAATGTTACCAAACAGTTTTCAGGATTTAATCTCCTCAGGATTTCATAAATCCGGATTTGGAAGATTTATGAAATCCTATTTAAATGAAATCCTATATTCTACCAAACAGCCCCTAAGCCTGAATCGCCTGATACGTCGAGAAAGTCTTACTTCCTAGGGGAGTTTAATCGATAAGATAACCTGAAATTAAAAAAAAATTAAGGAAATCTAATTTAGTAGGCCAATGTTAGGAATCTGATAAATATATCCGTTATTTTATTTTTTTAAGAAATATATTCAAAAAAAAAAATTCAAATCAAGTTAATTCAAATTTGTATATTTATGAACTATTTATTAAAATTAGTCCTACAAAATTAAATTGGCTCAACTTAAAAAGTAAAATCAAACATCAATTCTCACATGATTCTAATATATTCAAATCAAAATTGAATCTAGATCAATGAAGCTCATTAGGGTAGAATTATTGATACGACATAGAATTTTAATATGGATATTTATGGGCGGCTCACAAATAGGACATTTGAAGCTACAGTTCATTAGGAGATTGCGAACAAGAGCAAATGGGACCAACAAAACTTGGGTTTACTAAGGGTTCGCAAATGGGACCAATGAAGTTCGGCGCTCATGGACAGAATCACTTCCCAAACAAAAATGATTTCACAAAGGGAGGACATACTGATAGGACTGATAGTGTTAGGGAAAAAGATTTCGTAATAAAAGTGTAAGGGAATGCAATTACAAGAACGACGACATTAGGGGCTCTTTATGGACGGCATCTCAAGACAACGCAAAATAAAGGAATGTTGGAACCAAGTTAAAAATTTATTTGAATCAAGTTAGAATAAGGTTCAATTAAGATTTTGAACAAGGTTTGATTAAACATAGATTGACCCTTATTCAAACTAAAGTCAATTCTTTTTTGAACCTCGATTTGAACAAGTTTAAATTCTAACCAAATTGAACCAAATTTGCTTGTTGCAAACTCCAATAGATATTATATGCATATGAAAGAGAGCCAATTTCATCCAAAATAAAGTTTCATTCATATTATATGAGACATTAAACAACAAGCATAATTCTCTAGTTGTAAGCATTATGAAATATATGAAATTAATTTTCTAAATAAAATTAGAGAGATTTAAATATATACTACATAAATTTTAAGTATTTAAGTATCTAGTAGTTTCTATTTTGCAAGAAGGGTAAGTCAAAGAAATCAACACTATTACCTCCATGGCTCCATAAACATCGGCCGCATATCTAAACAATCATAAGAGAGCCACCAATTAAAAGATGATCATCGCATACATAGCACACCAACTCTCTAATAAAGACTAATTTTTAATTTAATATTTTAGTATCTCCGTTACATCAAAATATATTCTTCATAAAAATATATAATTCACTTTAAAAATAATATTAATAATATTTTTATATGATGCAAAGATTTGAGTGTTATTCAAGTAAATTTCTAAGTTTTGGATTTATATATATAAATACATATGAAATATAGGTATGTATGAAAATATTAACAAAAAGCAGGGGGATTTATATAAATACTATATAATTTTAATGTACCTACATATCTAATGCCTAAATTTTTTTATTCACTTATATAAATTTACAGTGTCTCAATCACGTCTTTTATTGTATGTTATTTCAACATATCACACTCTAATCATTTTTCAATTATAATGTTTATAATAGAGATTGTGGAGTGTATGAGATCGAATGCATTGTGCTCTTAATTTCAAAGAAGATTTTACTTGAAATTACAATTGATATCATGCAATTCTTTTTTGTCCTCATTTCAGGCACATGCCTTCTTTGGGAGAGATTATTAGGTGCGGAGTGCGGACGGGGAGAATCGTCCGCACAAGCATTGTTCGGCGCTAGGTACCTGCACTCGGTACCGCTGTGTACCGCTAAGTACCCAGTACTTGTACGGACGGTGCGCACTCCGCACCTAATAATTTTCCTTCTCTGAAGTCATCTATATGTTTCGAAGGCTTCCATGCACACAAAAAAATTATTCTTATAAATTTTTTGTTCACGTGAAAATGTTTGAACTATAAACGAGTATAAGATACTTGTTTATATTTACTCTTTTGCCATTTTGTAAAACTATTTATACTGTGCTCTGGCTTTATTTGTTATTATTCAGTCATATAATAAAATTCCCTTTCTTTACATTTCTTGCTCTTCTCTCTGCTCTTCCCGTGTCACGTTCTTTCATGGTATCTAGAGCTAGTTCGTGATCATGGCCGATCAAGATTCTGTGACCTCCCACCCTCCCTCATCCACTGCTGTCTCCGGCGACACCACCACCACCGAAATCCACATTCCGGCACCACTAAAGTTCCTTATCTCCAACATAAAGAATCTTATTCCTCAGGTCCTCACCGTGGACAATTATGCAATCTGACGCATACAGCTTCTACAGCAATTTACCGCCAATGGGTACGCCGGCCACCTCACCGGCACGGTTTCTTGCCCCTCCGACATCAACACCGTCGAATTCAAGCGGTGGACTCTCGTCGACAGATATCTTCTCTCTGCCCTGTTCTCTACAATTTCTCCTACAATTCTTCCCCACGTCATTTTGTCTTCCACTGCCAGTGAAGTTTGGGCGACGCTAGAACGTCGTTTACAACCTTCTTGTCGGTCGCACGCTATCCAGCTCAAGAACGAGCTGCACACGATTCAAATGCGTGATCTCACAATGCAACAGTACCTCACTCGAATAAAAACCATTGTAGACAATATCGCCGCTTCGGGCTCTCATGTTGATGTGGAAGACGTCATCATCTACATTCTCAACGGCCTTCCTTCCACTTACAACTCTTTCAAAGCTGCCATTCGCACCTATCCTCTTCCCCTTGATCTTGACAATCTTTATTCGATGCTTTGTAGTGAAGAGATCAACGTACAGCAAGAATCGGCAAGGGATATGGCTGCCTCTTCCGGTGCAACCGCACTTTACACCACTACCGCCAATCAAGTTCGAGGTCGCTCTCACCGCAGATTTGGCAAAACTAAGAACTATAATGTCGGCTTCACAACATCAGCTCAAACGGGATCAACCACTGCCTCGACAACTACTTCTGTTTCAAGACCGACATGCCAGATTTGCAATAAGACTGGACACATTGCCTTAAACTGTTGGCATAGGAACAACCCGAATTTCGCTCCAACATCGCAACGACCGATCCCTGCTTATCTTGCTCAATAGAACCTCTCGGCAAATCAAGATTTGATCA